ATTGTTGAAGGTCTCTGGTCCTTGTCCAAAGACACTTCTCCACACCAGTTCCAGAGCAGCCCACCCATAGCCTGGCTCACGTGCTCATTCATTTGCACCCAGAAACATTTAGCTTCTTCTAAGAACAGAGGTGAATGAGGAAGTTGCAGTAGAGGGAAGTCCAGAGTGAGGCAGCTGCTGAGAAATGGAGAGCGAGAGCAAGGTGTTGGAAGACAGAGCTGACAGTGCCACATAGCCTCCCAGCAGGACTTAATCTAACTTCCTGACTTCAGGTGCAGCAAAGGACACAGACTCATCTCCAGGGTTGAAGAAAGATTCAGTGGAAGTTGTGGCTGGCTTCTGTATGGGGAATGGTGGGGCCAGGGTGCCATTTTGTCTTTGGCATCAGGCAGCAAAATACCCTTGGTCCAGATTCTTCACATGTGTGTCCCAAATAGGCACTGACTGTCATCCTTTTCCACCTCAATTTTCCCCACCCTCAAAATCAGCCCAAGCCCTCCTGTGTCTTTAAAAGGCACCCAAATAAATAGACCGAAACCTGGGAGTTTTGCACCCCATGACTGCATTCACAGCCAGCCACCATAATTAAACAACAGAGTTTCATTTACACAGGCTTAAATTCTTCCAAATCTCTACCATTGCAGATCTCTTTTCCCTTTGAAATGTATCCGAGTATTATTATCCTTGAATACACATGAAAACACAGCACGGTGAATCTATAATAAGAGCTTCGCCTGGTTCTGCGGCACTGAATTGTGCGTGAGCGCGTTTGATTAAATGTCCAAATTACTCCCACTTAAAACAGCATCTGCATCCGGGCAAAGATACGGAGCTACTTAAAAATCAGTTTTTAACAGCTGACCCCAGCCTCTCAGCAAGTGTATTGCAGTCTCTCCCCAGGGGAAATGCAGGGTCATGAGCTAATAACCACGTCCTTTGACCTCATGCCAGGGAAGGCTGAGCGCCTGAGTGTTTTCCAGGTGGCAAGTTCACCCGCCCTCCCACCGCAATGCTGTTCGGTTTCCAAGTGACCGGGGAGCAATCAACGTCATGCACTGCGCAATCCATCTGCTTGCCAACTTCCTGGCCAAAAGGTGGAGGTCAGCAGGGAGAGACAATTGGGCAGCGAGGGTGGATATATAGCTCAGAAAGAAACTGAAAGGGGGGATGGCATAGTTGACGGAAGTTATTTTTAGCACTTGGGGCATTCAGAACCCCCCATGATTATTACATGGAATGTAATAATCAAGGGATACAATCTATTTCAGAGAAACAGACCAGACAAGAAAGGAGGAGGAGTGGCGTTATATGTCAGGGATGTGTATACCTGTGAAGAGATCCAAGATTTAGAACCTCAAAGCCAAAGTGAGAGCATTTGGGTCAAAATTAAGGGAGAGAAGAATAACAGTGACCTCATTGTGGGAGTTTACTATAGATCCCCAAGCCAAACGGAGGACATAGATGATGCCTTCCTGGAACAGATGGCCAAGCATGCAAAAGGAAGGGAGATAGTAGTAATGGGGGACTTCAATTACCCGGATATTTGCTGGATGTCAAACTCAACCAAGAGCATAAAGTCAAACAGATTCCTCACTGGCCTTGCAGACAACTTCATCGTCCAGAAAGTGGGAGAAGCAACAAGAGGAACAGCCATTTTAGATCTGGTCCTAACCAATGTTGATGACCTGGTTAGTGGGGTAGAAGTGGAAGGATCATTAGGCGTGAGTGATCATGCTCTTCTGAAGTTTACTATACAGCGGAAAGGAGCAGCCAAGCATACTAGGACTCAATTTCTTGACTTTAAGAAAGCCGACTTCATAAAACTTAGGGAAGTGCTGGGTGAGATCCCATGGACAGTAATACTAAAAGGAAAGGGAGTTCATGATGGCTGGGAGTTTGTTAAGAGGGAGATAGTAAAAGCACAACTTCAGGCAATACCAATGAGACGGAAACATGGAAGGTGCCTAAAGAAGCCAGGGTGGCTATCTAAAGAACTTTTAACTGAGTTAAGATTAAAAAAGGATGTGTACAAAAAATGGAAAAGGGGAAACCACCAAAGAGGAATTCAAACAAATAGCCAGCACGTGTAGACACAAAGTCAGAAAAGCTAAAGCACAGAATGAACTCAGGCTTGCTAGAGAGGTTAAAAGCAACAAAAAAGGCTTTTATGGGTATGTTCGTAGCAAAAGGAAGAACAAAGAAACAGTGGGGTCACTCAGAGGAGAAGATGGTGAAATGCAAACAGGGGTCACAGAAAGGGCTGAACTCCTCAATGCCTTCTTTGCATCAGTCTTCTCCGATAAAGAAAACAATGCCCGACCTGAAGAATTTGGAGCAAATGATTCAGCAGAGGAAACACAGCTCAGAATAACTAAGGAGATAGTACAAGAATACTTGGCTAGTTTAGATGTATTCAAGTCTCCAGGGCCAGATGAACTGCATCCAAGAGTATTAAAAGAACTGGCAGATGTGATCTCAGTCATCTTTGAGAATTCCTGGAGAACAGGCGAAGTCCCGGCAGACTGGAGGAGGGCAAGGATGTTGTCCCTATTTTCAAAAAGGGGAAAAGAGAGGACCCAAATAATTACCGCCCAGTCTGACATCAATACCAGGGAAGATTCTGGAGCAGATCATTAAGCAAACAGTCTGTGAGCACCTAGAAAGGAATGCTGTGATCACCAATAGTCAGCATGGATTTCTGAAAAATAAGTCATGTCAGACTAACCTGATCTTGACAACCATATGTCAGGAGTGCTCTGATTCTGGCTTGGCAGGCACATTTGGAATATTGAGGATGTGCTTTGGGTTCCAGCTACAAAATGGCTGTGGTGGGCCTGTGGCATAACACAAAATGGCCTCTGGGGGACTTCCGGGGAGGTGCCTCCGGTAATGGCGGAATTCCTCTGACCGGGAGGAATCCGCTCCGTGGGAATCTGGGTCTGGCCGCCACGGCGAAGGCGGAGACCCGTTAAAATCACAGGCGGGAGAAGCCTGTGAGCGTGGGATTCGGCGGGCACTTTTGCGCCTCCCCCACTCATGGGGAACCCCGGTTTTTGGGGCTCCGGAGCGACGTGGGGTGAGCGGCACGGTGCATCGAATCGTCTGCTTCTTCCACGGAGCGAAGCCGCATAGCTGTTGCCGGAGAGCGCTGACCTTTTCCTGTGGACAATTTGACTTTAAAGTAATTACCCGTGAGTAGAGCTGAAGTGGAAGAATTGGATTTCTACATGTTTAATTTGGCACCGTAACGGGGAGGTTCAAAACAGGAAGTCCGCCTTCCCCTTTTGTAAATAGACTGAGGCAATGAAGTTGCAAGCTGGAGTCCTGGAAAGCCTTTTGTAAAAGATTACATTTCCATCGGTAAAGAACATTAAACCCCCTCTTGGAGGCAGGAGAAGAGAGGGGGAAGTTGCGGATTGAGTATGCCTGTGGGAGAGAGTGAAGAGATTTAAAACACAGCCGCTCTGACCCTGGAAACGGGCTGCTAGTAGGACTGACGTCTTTTGGAATGTTCATTGACAGCTAGTTAAACAAGAGAAATACATTGTTTCTACTGTCTCCGGCTGCTTTAAAAAGGAGTAAAAGTAACTGAAAATTGAAACTAATTTGAAACTAATTTTGGATTGTTTAAAAGAGGATACTATTGACTATTACAAATAGAAACTGTTTCCCCCTAGTGGAAGCCTTTGAAACTGGTTGCCCTACAAGAGCTGGGCTAGGGGAATTTCCAGCTGCAAGTTAAAAACCGTGAGACTCTGGGACTGACCTTGAATCTTTTAAGTGTTATGGTAAATGGAAGAGGAAAAACAGACCAGTCAACTGCTGACAAAACATTAAGGTCTGGGAGGACTTGGCAACAATCCAGGAGAGGTCCATCATTAGGCCCCGCTGCTCCTTCTGTTGCTGCCTTTGTACCAGTATATTTAAAACCAAGAGGAATGTCGGCAGAAGAGGCTTTAGTGGCTGCATTATATAAGATAAATGACTCATTGGATCAGCTTAACAGGAAAATGGACACGATAAATGTGAAAGTGGATGTTTCAATTATTAAAATTAACTTAAATACAGAAAGTATAAATAATACCAATACAGAAACCACCCAGAAATTGATACAGGAACCTATTTTGATACGGCAAACTGCGGAGGAAGCCAGGGAAAAAGCTGTTGTTGCTGAAGGTAAAGTAACACAACTGGAGAGAAAGAGAAAGAGAGCCCCAGCCCTACAGAGGCAATTTGATGAGCATAAGTTGACGCTTGCTATGACTAAACTTAAAGAAAAACAGACGAATTTGAGGATTACAGTTCACCTTTGGTGGACATGCCCAAGGATTAAGACACTTTGGGAGATGATTCATAACGAAATGAAAAAGGTACTTAAATATACCCTTTTGAAGAAACCAGAGGCCTTTCTCCTGGGCATGGTCGGCCAATTGGTGTTAAAGGAGGATAGAATTTTTTTCACATATGCAACAATAGCAGCAAGAATACTCATTGTGAAGTACTGGAAGACACAAGATTTATCTATTCGGGAAGAATGGCAGATGAAGTTGATGGACTATATGGAATTGGCGGAAACGACTGGCAGAAATCCGAGACCAGGGAGAAGAGTCGGTGGAAGAAGACTGGAAAAAGTTTAAGACTATTTATAGAAATACTGTAAAAATAATGAATGTTAGAAAAATGTTGGAATAAAGTTATATGGCTTTAGTAGAAATGCTATAAGGAATCAAGTATAAATAGATTAATAGTGTATTAAAGGGAAAAATAAGGTTAGAATATGTTAAGATAATTATAGGATAGAAAACAGAGGAAGATGGAAAGGAATTGCTGAAACAATTAACAGAAGTGGAATACAAAAAGGGAGGTGTGAGGAGGTCATGGAAATAAGGGAATGAAAGATAAGATATCGAAATTGTTTTGTGTTTTAAATGGTTTGTGTCTTGTTTTGTTAGTCTTATGTTTTTTGTTGTTTTTTGTTGTTTTTCTGTTTTGTTGTGTTTAAACGGTTGGAAAATTAATAAATATTATTTAAAAAAACACACACACACACAAAATGGCCGCTGAATTTAAAAGAGCAGAGAAAAAGAGAGGGCCACAAAATGGCGTTGACATTTGACCATGTTATGTATTGAAGTTCTCACCCTGGCCACCAGGGGGGTATTGTGTATATAGTTTTCACTCAGGTCCACGTCAGTTAATTTAGGTGGGAAACCCTAGGCTGTTGTTGTTACAATGTTGACAGCCGGCTGCCTATAAAAGCAGGCCAGCTGAGCTGTTTGCTGTTCAGTTCAGTTCCAGCTTACAGTCATACCTCATGTTGCGTTTGCTTCATGATACATTTTTTCAGGTTGCATCCCGCGGCGACCCAGAAGTACCGGAAAGGGTTACTTCCAGGTTTTGCTGCTCGTGCATGCGCAGACGTGCAAAATGACGTCATGCGCATGCGCAGACGCGATGAATTGCGACCCGTGCAGACGCAGGTTGTGTTCTGCTCATGTTGTGAACGGGACTCCGGAATGGATCCCGTTCGCAACCAGAGGTACCACTGTACTTATAAATGTACTTGGAGAAATTTCTGTATCGTCTGCTATGTCCACCCACTACTTAATAGACCACGCTCTCTGACAGAAGAATAAAAGCTTTTCTCTCCTCTGTTCGGAATAGAAGGGATGGTGGGCGTCCAATCCTGAGATCTAGTGAAACATGGGCATGTCTGAGGGGTATGTTTAATGTAGGAGAGGCTGAGCCAGTGCAAACAGCAACTGAACAGTCTCTCATGCAGTGTGTATTTTGGGTGGGATGTACGTATTCTGAGACCTTTCCTGGGTGCCACAGGAGGCAAAGGCGCCATCTTCTCAAGCTGATTGAGGGGGCACAACATGATGTCCTGACGTTGTGCATGTGATGTCACAGGAGCCAAGGGCCCAACACACTCTAAGCATTGAGATCACCCAGCCCCCTCAAAAAAAATTGGGGGGGCCCAAAACTTCCTCAACCCCTAGGAGCTGGTACATATGATAGGAAACCCAGCCACATGGGTGGGGTATAAATTATTATTATTATTATTATTATTATGGGCACAACTTGTGCTTGTGGGCACTGCAATGGCGAGAGAGGTAAGTCTCTGATCTGATCCAATGGGGGTGGTGTTGGAGATCACAAGGTTAGGTGTTGGGTCAATTATCCCTAAAAGGTTCCGGAAGAGCGTACAAATATATATAACAAACTAATGATGATGATGAACTATATATTGCCACATTGTTTTTAAAAGGGATCTTCAACCTAAAGGCAAGTGGCAGCGTAGCTTTAAGGATAGAGAGATAAATGGCTGTCTCTAGCCTCTCCTTTACCTTCTTTTTTAAAGGTAATACCTTAATTTGCATAGTAATAACCCAATTATCGTAAGATTAGGCAACGGGAATCTCATTATTCCTATTCCTACCAAACAGTCAATATTCCATTCAATATCTTTTAATCTTACCTACCTTAAAACACAATTATTCCAAATAAATGCTCATTCATCTTTAATGCAATTTCTTTAATAAGGTTGGAAAAAAACAAGAAAAAGAAAATCTCCTGGTAATTGTTAGCTTTCCCAGCACTAATATATCAGTGGTTAAACACTTCTCCCCCCCACACACACACACCTCATTTGTGCTGCTATAGAAACAGTTCAAAAGTAGTCAATTGCTAAAATGGGGGTGGGAAGATTTTTTTAGTGTTTTCTGAGAGAAAAACCAGCATCGAGTCCCAAAACATGCATGATGGATGGGATGTATGCCCCCTGGCATGTGTGTGCTGCCAAGTGGAATCGGGGAGGGGGGCAACCCCTTCATTTAAAATTTGTGGGCACCCGGGCACCCTGCATAGTTGGCACCTATGATTCACATCATGTCCGCAAGGCGTTAAAAGTTTTGGGTTTCATGAACAAGGCTTCAGCCTAACATTGGTGGTGGAGACGTTTCTGCAAAAATGCTCATCTATTTCTGCAAATAAAAGGGGGGGGGCTGGCTTTGCAGCCATAGAACAGCTTCAGTCACAGAGTGACAACTTCACAAGGGCATCAGCAGGGAAAAAAAAACATTTAGCAGCTTTTCAACAACAACAAAAATGCAAGTCGCTGCAATGTATTTGTGGTCTCTTCAAACGCGTCTTCTTTGTGCGTATGACATGATTAAAAAAGAAAGGAAGGAGGAAGGAAAACTGCTTGTGCATTAAAAGGTCTTGGTAAAACTGAATATTTAATAGCAGAACATTAACTCCGACTAGTCTGAACATCCAAGATATTTCGAAGACACATTTTAAATATTAAACTCTCTTTAGTTTGAACTAGACACACACGGCTTGAACATCAGAAGCATGTTTCTTTTGCATGCGTAGGCCAGATGTGGGTGGCTGAGATGAAGTGCATGGCCGATGCTGAAATTTTTGATGTTCCAAATATTTGGCATGTAAATGGGTTCTCCAATACTTGATGGGACACCTGTGCCCATCCCTTACATCAGCATCTGAGGAGCTGCTCCAGTTACCTCCTCTAAGGGAGTTTTGAAGAGTGGTGACAAAGGACAGGGTCTTTTCAGTAGTGTCCCCCTATCTGTGGAATACTCTCCACAGTGAGCCTCATTTGACACCAACTTTGTCATCTTTTCAACCCCAGTTTAAGTCCTTCCTCTCCTCCCAGGCATTTGACGAGATGGGATGGTTGATTCGAGGTCTTGTTCCAACTGATTATCTATCCCTGGTATTCTTTTCCTGCTTGGGTGGTGTGGATATTTATTTTATGTACTTAACAGGGTTTATATCCGTACATCTCTAGAAGGATTGCATAAAGCAATATAAAAAACAATTTAAAAAAAATATTGATAAAATAAAATATAAGATCAAAAGATCAAGTTGAATTTAACAAATTTAAAATAGAATTAAAATCAGCAATCTTAAAAAGTATGCATATTATTGCAAAATTGTGCATTAAAATTACTTGTCAGGATTACATGTCACATCTGGATAGGTTATTATCATTATTATCATATATTTATTTATACTTCGCCTTTTTCCCAATGGGACTCAAGGCAGCTTACAGATAAAAACAAGTTTGTGACATTATAATGCTGACTGCACCATTTTGTATTAATGTCTTGTTTTAACCCTTGTATGTTTATACATCACTGTTCTAACAAATGTAACAAAAATACTATCTGTATTTTTACTGTATCTCACCTAAATATAGTGGTGGCTGAAATTACTGGAAACATTTTGTCAAATTATTTTGCATCAAAATGGCACCTCCTCCCATAGGGAGGAGAAAACTTCCAGGTGGAGAATAATATTGGCCATCCAAGAGATATATCATTATTAAATTTTCTGTTTTACAATTTAAAATACTCATTTTACATCCTTAAGATATCAATGACTTCCCTTCTTCTCTCTCCAGGGTTCATTTTACATATCATAAATCCCTGCATATTTTACAAAAACTATACCATCCAGTATTCCATTATTGCATCCATCAAAATTTATTTACACTGTCAAATTTATCTTAATGCATTTTCAGCTGTCCACAATTATTTCCCATATATTCAATAAACATTTTCCAATCTTCTTCCAATGTTCTTCTTGTTCTCTTATTCTATGTGTTAAGTCTGCAAGTTGTGCATATTCTGTCAACTTAAGTTGCCATTCTTCTTTGGTTGGGACCTCGCTCATTTTCCATTTTGGGGCTAACAAAACATGGGACACAGTAGTAGCATACATAACCTTTTTTGACACCTGGGAATTTCAATCTGAATTGTCCCCAACAGAAAGGACTCTGGGGGGCTTTTGGGGGGGGGGGAGTTCTTTAAAATATTTTTTTCAATTCATTATGGATCATTTCCCAATACTCTTTTACCCTTTTACAAGTCCATCGTCATCTCTTGCTGATATGTACATGTGATAGTTGATACCTTTTAAAAAAAGAGACATACTGGAGATTGGGGGTGGGATTTTGGGGTCTAAATTAAGATAAGTTTGTTTAAATTCTGTTGAAAGGAGCCTAATTAGCCTCCTATTCCTTATAGTCCTTTCTTAGCCCAATACTTCCTTCATGCATCAGCATAAGCTCTGGATAATATTTTAATGTGCAAATTTATGCAGAAATGTGATAGAATGGACTTACAGATGTGAAAAATGTCGCAAGCCCAAAACAGACAGATGTGCCCAACTCTGCTCTGTCCGTATAACGTGTTCTCCCTAGCAGAGAGCATGTGTTGCGGTGGGGGATACAAGCCACCCCAGTGTTGCTGGGTGGATTTGCGGAGTGACCCAGGCAGTGAATTGGTTAATTGGGTCGCTGGGGAGAATTGCTTGTTGCCAATTTTGAAGGAGGGGTCAGAGGTTTTAAATATTGGTCGCCCAACTTTGAGTGTCCTCTTGGATGCTTGCACCAGATCACCCGCCCACCCTCCCTGTATTGGGGGGGGGGGTTGTTCGCTTGACCTTGCTATGCCTGTCATGGGGCTGTCTGCTTTGAGGCAGGGGCCTGGTAGGAATTTTGTCCATTTGGCTGATTGGCTGCTGCCATTTGGTTTTTGCCTACTGCGTAGCAAAACATCACAACTTGTAAGGTTAGGCGTTGGTTCAAATTGGTTGGTGGAGGGGTAAGTGCCTACCCCTCCAATGGTGATGCGGAAAGGGAATTCCATTAAAGGAATCCAGGGGCTTACCATTCTTTTCGTCCTTGTCCCTGGCATCAGGACTTGGGCCATGCAAGCCACCAGGAACATGAGGGTGAGAAGTGAGGGACTGAGGCCCAGCTTCATTTTCTCCCCAAAATTGTTTCCCTCACTGGCTTCCGGAAGTCAGTTCTGTCCCTGGGCAAGGACAGATAGTCGGAACCAATGCCTAAGCAACCACTCACTTGTGTGTATTTAAATAAAGTTGTGGCCAAAATCGTGCCAAAAACCCAAACCAAAACCAAAAACCCAAACCAAAATCATGCCAAAAAACCCAAACCTAGCCACTGTGATCCACGCGATGGTCACCTCCAGACTGGATTATTGTAACTCGCTCTACGTGGGGCTGCCCTTGAGACTGACCCAGAAACTCCAGCGGGTACAGAATGCTGCAGCGAGACTTCTTACGAGGTCTTCGCCGCGAGATCACATTCACCCGGTGCTATACCAGCTGCACTGGCTCCCAGTGGAGTACAGGATCAGGTTTAAGGTGCTGGTTTTAACCTTTAAAGCCCTATACAGCCTAGGACCCTCGTACCTACGGGACCGCCTCTCCTGGTATGCCCCACAGAGAAACTTACGGTCTTCAAATAAAAACATCTTGAAGGTCCCAGGCCACAGAGAAGTTAGGCTGGCCTCAACTAGAGCCAGGGCTTTTTCGGCCATGGCTCCGATCTGGTGGAACACTCTGTCACAAGAGACCAGGGCCCTGCGGGACTTGACATCTTTCCGCAGGGCCTGCAAGACAGAGCTGTTCCACCAGGCCTTTGGCCAGGGCACAGCCTGACTCCCTCCCTTGGCAATCTTCGCGGAGCTCTGGCCCAATGGTTGCCAGTGGCTTGAATTAATTAATTTTATAATGAATGATTTTAGAGTGTTGTTTATGCTGTACTTTTGTACTGTTTTATTGTTGTTAGCCGCCCTGAGCCTGGCTTCAGCTGGGGAGGGCGGGATATAAATAAAATTTATTATTATTATTATTATTATTATTATTATTATTATTATTATGTGTGAATTATTGGGGGGTGGCTTGGGGACCTCAACACGCAACAAGGATTTCCGCACTGTATTTCCTCAGGCTGAAGGGCCTTCAGAGGAGACCACAAGCTACAATCTCACAGGTGGCTCTTTTAATGCATTCATTTCTGTTTTGTTCTTTCCCCGAGGTTGGTTAGGTCAATGATAGTTTGAAAACGGCCTCCCTTGCCATGTGAAGAAATCTCAGCGCATCATTAATTCCCATGCCACACAATCGCAGGAGGGAGCTGCTGAACTCCTGCTCACCACAATCAATTTTGCATTGGAGCAAGCTGATCTTTTAGGGAACGGGGTCTGCAGGGCAGGCGGGATGTCAGACATCATGTCCAAAATGACTTTTCAAAATCCGTTGATAATGAGTTAAATGATATTCTCGGAAGGCGCTCTTCAGGCCAATGTAAGCGATTTAGAAACTAAATGCCTCCCCCCCACACACACTTTTTATCACACTTAACAGTAATAACAACCAATATGTTATTTTCGCTCCTGACACAGAGTTGAGGAGTCTGCAACCTCTAATTTGACAGCCACTGTATTATTGCTCTCTGGGAAAATTAGACAGGATGGAAAATTAAGCCATCCAAAAATTGACACAAACAGAAAACTAGGACTCTCACTTGGTCTCTGTCGCTTGTGCAACGAGCGCTGATTATATGGTGTTTGACATTCCATTTCCAGGTCAGCCACAGCAACACAGAAGTCATACTTCATTTATACTCCAACTGACACCACTGAAGGACCGCGTTAGTCTTTGAAGATGCCATGCGCTCAGAAAGAGGAAGACTAGAATTAACCTTGTCTTCTTGATGGTCTTGTTTGTGGATTTTTGTCTTCAAACGGCAAATGCGGAAGGCAGCCCAAATTTCAGAATGCCTTTGTATCGAGATTGCCATAATCACAAAAGGCCAGAACTTGCTGTCACAGGAGTCGCACGGCTGCAGCTGAAAGCAGCACCGCAATATGTGTCTCCTCTTCCTCTGGTAATGTGTTGGAAGTATAACAGCAGAGATCATTCAGTTGGTAACCTAGGGGTTAATTCTGTTCTCTGTGCTAGCCAATTGCCCAAGAGGGGGTTGGAGGTGTTGCTTAGCAACCAGTCAGATTGGCATGATACTTCCTGGAATTACTTAAATTCTGATTGGCTGTGTAGTTCTAAGGGAGTTTAATTAATAATAATAATAATAATAATAATAATAATAATAATTTATTATTTATACCCGCCTATCTGGCTGGGTTTCCCCAGCCATTCTGGGCAGCTTCCAACAGAATATTAAAATACAATAGTCTATTAAACATAAAAAGCTTCCCTAAACAGGGCTGCCTTCAGATGTCTTCTAAAAGTCTGGTAGTTGTTTTTCTCTTTGACATCTGGTGGGAGGGCGTTCTGCAGGATGGGTGCCACTACCAAGAAGGCCCTCTGCCTGGTTCTTACAGTGAGGGAACAACCAGAAGGCCCTTGGCACTGGACCCCAGTGTCCTGGCAGAACGATGGGGGTTGAGACGCTCCTTCAGGTATACTGGACCGAGCAGGTAGGGTCTCAGCCTGTGTACCAGATGGAGCTGATAAACAGCTGCCCTGCATATTTAGCGGTTGAATAGCCTCCTCCTATGAACCAAGGCCTGAACGAAGAAAAACAAAACTCCTTTGTTCCTTTCTCCTCACCTAATACTTTGTTTTGTTCAGATTCTCTCAGTAAAGTATTTTCAGCTTGCTTCTCTCTCTCTCTCTCTCTCTCTCTCTCTCTCTCTCTCTCAGAACTCCATCTATGTTAGTCAAGATATTCTGGCTAACGCAACACACTAAATGTGTGAAATTGTCATCCGTCAAAATGCTTCAAAAATTTTGGGACTTTGCAGAGATCACCCTCCAAAACTGGTCCATCGCAGCCCACCAGCGCTGGGATGTACAAACCACTTCCCGCTTGCAGAAGAGGACAATGTAATTGTCTACTGAGAATCATGTTAATCACTTTAAAGTGTCTCAAGCTAATATCAGGTTTCTCAATTGGCAGTTCTCCACACCGCAGTTTCAAACCACTAAAGATATAATTGTTAGCTATTAATAAGATAATGTTTGTAAAGTGATTTGAACATAAAAGCATTTTATGGGCCTACAAGGTATTATTATAACCGCATTCAACAATAAAACATGAACTGCGTCTAAGAGCGCTCAGGTCTACGACGCCCAAATGTTTGACATTTGCCTCTGTAAAGTGTAGCTTTTTAAAAAAAAAAACCACGTTTAAAAAGAGGACAGTGACGGAAAAAGCAAAGAGTAGAAAAAATATAGAAGAGGTAAAGGTTTTGCTAGCAAATTGGCAGAATCCTCTCCAGTCTAAGGAATTACACTACTTTTATTGAGAGTCTTTTTAACTTCCCCTATCATTACATTGCCCCTTGGGAGAAACCCACAAATTTACTATGAATTTCACTTTTTTACTATTTTATTTACTATTATTTTTGTCATTTTTCATTGAAGAGAAATCTAAGTGCAGTTCACTGAGAGAAGATATACATGAAAACAATTTTAAACAGAAAAAAACTGAAAACAGATCACTGAAGCAGGGGTCCCCAACCCAGTGCACATGGGCACCAGTATTATCACTGAAACATCCCTACTTTAAACATGCCCGCATTTCATTGGATGCCAGAATTAGACACCCAACATCCCATGTGTTCTGAACAGTAGAAATGCTGTGATCTAGGCGCCATTCCCCCACTGATTGGGCAGCTGATGGAGGGAGGGTGGACTTCTAGAAAATAGTAATTAAAAAACTCTTAATATACCACTGTGGTGGTGTTGTTTTTTAAAAAAAGTAATAGCAGCAGTCACGAAATTAAAAGATGCCTGCTTCTTGGGAGAAAAGCAATGACAAACCTAGACAGCATCTTAAAAAGCAGAGACATCACCTTGCCAACAAAGGTCCGTATAGTTAAAGCTATGGTTTTCCCAGTAGTGATGTATGGAAGTGAGAGCTGGACCATCAAGAAGGCTGATCGCTGAAGAATTGATGCTTTTGAATTATGGTGCTGGAGGAGACTCCTGAGAGTCCCATGGACTGCATGCAAGAAGATCAAACCTATCCATTCTTAAGGAAATCAGCCCTGAGCACTCACTGGAAGGACAGATCCTGAAGCTGAGGCTCCAATACTTTGGCCACCTCATGAGATGAGAAGACTCCCTGGAAAAGACCCTGATGTTGGGAAAGATGGAGGGCACAAGGAGAAGGGGACGACAGAGGACGAGATGGTTGGACAGTGTTCTGGAAGCTACCAGCATGAGTTTGACCAAACTGCGGGAGGCAGTGGAAGACAGGAGTGCCTGACGTGCTCTGGTCCATGGGGTCACGATGAGTCGGACACGACTAAATGACTAAACATCAACAAATAGCACAAAAATGAGGGAAATGTACAATTAAGCCAGGTTCTAGAATAATAGGATTTGAGAGTTGGAGGGAACCTTTGAAGTCATCCACTCTCACCCTTCACAAGGCAGGATCTTTCATCTACAGACACAGGCCTCTGCATCTTTGAATGGGGAGCCATGCACAATTATGCTAGGCTTCGAAAAAAGCATTTGGAAAACCCTACACTTATGGCAAGGTCACATACCTACAGAAATAACTAGGGAGGTTTCAGATCCCGCTACTATCCCTGGCCAGCCTACTTCTCTCTGTTTCCTAAGGACTGTCGGGATAAATTTGTTGTTGCCTGGTACTACATCTAAGGGTAAATGTTTTGCAAGAGTCTCAAAGGCAAAAGCAGCTCCAATATTACAAACCTACAAATAGCTTCACAGGCAAAATGGAAGGTGGGTGGGTGGAAATAAAGTGAAGCCATTCCTCTCTGGCCTAACCCGATTAGTGTTCTGCTTAAAGTGATGAAGCTGTCTTTCTCTCTTGCACAAATATATGGAACAATACATCTTATCTATTTACTGCGGCATTGCGTAGTGTCTCCAGGGCTCGCTATCAGCCAGTTTAATTGCAAGACAGTTTTATGTGAAGCCTGGGATGATGGGAATTCAGTGGGCAAGGCAGAGTCAAAATAAGGAGTGGAGAAAGTAGCCAGATAGC